GCCGCTGTGAGATCGGCCGATGAGTCGACGAGCTGATGTCAGTGAACTGACTGTCTGTCTCTCTGCCGCGTGGACGGCATCGATGGACTGACGGCTGTCGTGTTTATGAGAGTGTGTTGTGTTGTGGGGCTTTGCGTGTCGGTCGGTCTGGCTGCCATTGTCATTGCTCTGTCACCTCCCACTCCTCGGCCGTCAGCTGCCATGAGTGTGTCGGCTGATGAGTGGGGGGCGGGGGAGAGATGACAGACAGACAGACAGACAGAGAGGGAGGATTGGCTGGCTGGCTGCACAAAGGAATCGCTGTGTGGCGTGGCGGTGGCCGTCTGTCTGTGGTGCGGCCGGTGTGACGTCTGCTTGCGAGAGTCTGTTGATCTCTCGTCGATGCATCCGTCACACACGGCCGGCTCACAGACAGACAGGCCGACACACACACACACATAGTTTGGCTGAGAGAGAGAGAGAGAGAGTATTGGTTTTCCCCCTCTCTGTGAGCATCTACGTTCTCGTCTGGCAACTCGAGAGCGTCAGCCCACGAAGGGTGTTGGTGCTTTAGGGTTGCGAGGCGGCGACAGAGATGCCCACAGAGGGGCGGGCGATTGAGATGGACACACACGGCTGCTTACCCATTCCACCAAATGAGGCGGTGGATGGATGGTGTTTGGTGTTGCTGTGGTGTGAGATTCGTGTGTCGGTGTGCTGTGCGTCCTGATGTCATGCTTGTATACCCACACAGACACAGACGTGTTGATTGATGGATCGATGTGTTTTGATGCATGCCGTTGTCGGTTTGGTTTTTCTCTCGTGTGATGTTTGTGTGTTGGTGAGCTGACTGTCGTCGATTCATTCGACGGACATTTGACGCCCCACAGACAGACAGACAGACAGCCATGTATCCTACCTGTTGGCCTGGCCTGTTGTCGCCAGCTGTGTTCTGTTTGACGAAGGTGTGTTTTGTCCGTAGGGGACAGACAGACTGACATAAATGGGGATGGATGGACCTCATGCAACGCTGGGGTGTTTCTGTGCCTCTGTTGAGTGAGAGAGACGTCGGTTTGGTTTGAGTGAATGAGTAAATGTGTTCGATGAGGGACGGGTGGGCAAGACATCGACAGACACACAGATGTGATGAGCTTTGCATGGCGAGTCCATTGACGGACAAAGGGGACTGATGTGCACACCCTCTTGTGGTGCGTCCATCCAGCCAGCCAGCCAGTCAGTACAGCCCATTATATACGCCGCACACACCCCATGCGGCGACTTGAATAAAGAAGCAACTGCATTTCTCCCCAAATCGTCTAATCCCCTCTGTTACACCACATGCACCATGCACTAGGTGTGTTTATGTGAGGCACACAAAAGCGAATCGAACCTCCATAAAGCACTCATCTCATCGTACGCCAAATCGAAACGTTCCCCCTTCCTCACCTGCTATTCCCCATCACGTGAAGCACCTCTATCTCATCTGCCTGGAAATACACCGACCCGCCCAGATAAGCCCTGCCAAAGCTGTCCCTCTCGCCCGTACCGCCATCGTCATCCCTCGCCCCCGTGTAGCCCTCAGGCAGATAGCCGCTGTCGATAGACTGCCAGCAGCTGCGGATGTAAGGCCGGTAACCCAAATAAAGCCGCCCACCGATCTCCACATTCGCAGCCCCAGACAGACCCCCCTCCCTGCCCGCCACTACCACAAAGTGATCCCATTCGTCGATGTCAATCTTGGTCGGCTTGTCGAAGTGCCCGGCCAGCGAAAACCACCACAGGACACACTCGTACTTATGCCAGTCAGTCGGCTCGTCGGGCAGCTCCAGGCCGCAGTTGATGTGGACGCTGAAGACATACTTGTCCTTTCTGATTACAAACACGAGAGGCTCTGCGTCGCCCACACTGTCCAGCAGGTCATCGTAGGTGGTGCCGTCCACAGACGTCCTACGCCAGACACACACACACACACATCTCTCTCTCTCTCTCTCTGTGTGTGTGTGTGTGTGTGTGTGTGTGTGATTGCATACCGGTAGAGTGAGTTGAGTTCTGTGCCATTGTGATTGCCCATCAAGTCGACCAGCGCCTCATACTCTGCCGCAGACAGCGACGTGTTGCCAGGAGGGGACACCTGCACCCGACGCAAATGCACCTGGACACACAGCCATTCACACCAGAGCATCGAATGAATGGATCGATGGCCTCCGTGTGTGGTGCACCTGCTGTCCCTCTGCGCCAACACACGTCAAGCTGAGAGTCATCATCAGCAGCGCAGCACACGTGGAGAGCTGTCCCATCGCGTGTAGCTAGATCTTTCCGCTCAAACTGTTCGAGAGCCCAGCCCCCTTAAGCTCTCACCGCAAATGCCACGGGGAGGCAGCGCAGCGTGAGCGCAGATATGTAGGAAGCAGCGGCTGCCCTCAGTTGCCAAGGTCCGCTGACCGAAGCTGCACAGAAGAAAGCGGTGCGTATTGTGATACCTGGCGGTGCAGACGATGAACAAGACAGCAGTGAGTGAGATCAGGGAGAAGAGATCAGAGAGACTCTCTCCCTCTCGGGGCTCATCGCTCGGGTGCTCTCGTTGCAGATCTCTCCACTCAGACTTCTTGTAAAGCTCTCCCCATTGACGCTCCCGCCGACTCGCCATCTTTGTGTGTGGAGCGCACTGGAGAAGCGGGGCGCGAGCTTCTGGAACAAGCTTTTCCTCTCTCAGCCCTCCCTTCTCTCCAGATGGTCCTGTGGACTCTCACTGGACAATCTCGTGCACCGAAAAGGCCAAACGAATGTGTGAGCTTCGAGAAAAACGGCAATTCGATCCCACTCGATCACCGACTTCCGCAAATTAATTTTTTGATTTCATCACATTGACCGCTCCGCAGTGAGACCGTTGACACGACGGAAGAGACAAACAGGCGAAAGAAACGCGGCAAAGGCTGGGGGTCTGCTGGGGCCTTTCATGCGGCCCCGCTCGTGGGGTTCAGGGTAGAAAACCCTACCCTTAACCCCTCAAGCCCTCTGGCCGCCCTGCCCCGCCCCTTGTGGCCCGTTGTCAGCCCTCCTGACGGCCCACTGCACGACATCTGTCCTCTGCCCTCCCTCCCTCCCTCCCTCCCTCGGTTCTCTGTTCTCGGGCGCTCGCACCGAAAAACACACGGGGCGACTGATGCACATGACGAGTGCGTGACACGCCGAGGTGATGCATGGCGCTGTGATGACGGGTGGTGGTGGTTGTCATCAGTCTGTGTGTGTGGTGGGCTGCAGATGTCGTGTGGCGGTGCGGGGCGGCGGTGCTTGGCGACAACACTGCACTCGACCAACTGGTACGCAGAGAGAGATGGGCACACACACACATTGGGACACAGGCAGGACTCACACACACAGACGTCTGTCTGTCTGTCTGTTTGAGTGTCCTCAGTATGTGACTGTCTGAGTGGCTCTCTGATGGCTTCGACGCGCTGATGGCGATGATGTGTGCTGAAGGGAGAGAGATCGGCCGATGAGCCGACGGACGGGCTGACTGAACTGAACTGAATCTCTCACTATGTCGCCTTTTGGTCGTATGTGCGTCGATCTCACTCTGTTGTGTTGTGGGGCTTTGCGTGTCGGTCGGTCCGGCTGCCATTGTCATTTCGTCCTTGTCGTCTACTTGTCAGCCGTCAGCTGCCATGAATGTGTCGGCTGGTGAGTGGGGGGCGGGGGAGAGATGACAGACAGACAGAGAGGGAGGATTGGCTGGCTGGCTGCACAAAGGAATCGCTGTGTGTGGTGTGGCGGTGGCCGTCTGCCTGTAGTGTGGTCATGTGCTACGCATGGTCGCGAGAGTGTGTTGCTCTCTCGTCGATGCATCCGTCACACACGGCCGGCTCACAGACAGACAGACAGACAGACAACAGACACACAGACATCTGTTGATCTCTCTATCTGTTCTCCTGGCTTCCTAGCTGAGAAAAAGTGTCCTCCTCCCCCACCCCCTCTCTGTGAGCCTCTTGCATGTCGTCGGGCAACTCAAGAGCGTCAGCCCGTGAAGGGTGTTGGTGCTTTGGGGTTGCCGGGCGGCGACAGAGATGCCCACAGAGAGCAGAGGGCGAGGGAATGGACACACACACGACTGCTTACCCATCCCACCAAATGAGGCAGTGGTTGTTTCCTTTTGCCGACCGTCTTGGCGTCGATGTGTGCATGCCCTCACAGACGTCTTGATTGATATTTCGCAACACCTGCATGTCGTAGTCGGTTTGGTTCTTCTCTCGTGTGGTGTTTGTGTGTTGGTGAGCTGACTGTCGTCGATCCATTGGACGCACATTTGACGGCACACAGACAGACAGACAGACAGACAGACAGCCCGACACACACACACTCAGAGAGAGAGACCGTTTTGGTTTCGCGAGCTGTGTGTCCCCCCCCCCTCTCTCTGTGGGCATCTATCTCACCGGACGGCAAGTCGAGAGCGTCAGCCCGTGAAGGGTGTTGGTGCTTTAGGGTTGCCGGGCGGTGACAGAGATGCGCACAGGGGGGCGATTGAATGAATAGACACACACACGACTGCTTACCCATCACACACACGCAATGAGCGAGAGAGAGAGCGATGTGTTTGTCTGTTTTTCTGCCTGCCTGCCAGTGTGTCGTGATGGACACACTCGCGAGTCATGTGAGGCTTTCACTCCATTTATCGATTTGTCGATACGCACACACAATGGATGGATGGATGGATGGACAGAACGATCTGTGCCTCGCTCTCCGTGAGTGTTGATTATCACTCTCTGTGTGTGATGGTTATCGAGCGGCCGACAGACACACACATACACACACAAGGGAAAGTAACAGAGAGCTGCCTTTGGTGTGGTCATTCATTCCATCGATGGCTGGCCGGGCGGTGACAGAGATGCCCACAGAGGGGCGGGCGAGGGAATGGACGCACACACACCCACACCCACACACACCCACACACACACATGGATGGACCGATGTGCGCCTCTCTATTATGTGTTGTGAATGCCACGTCTGCCCGACGCGCCGGTGAGTTTCTGGACGGCGGGGAGAGAGAGAGGGGTGTCTCTTTGGTGCTGCTGTGGTGTGAGGTTTGTGGGTGGTGTGCTGGCTGTCTGCTGTGGGATGGAGAGAGAGGGTGTGTGTTCGTGTGCTGATGTTTCTGTCACTCGCTGGACACCACACACATTGAGTGTTAGTCATCGCTCTCTGTGTGCGGTGCCCATCGAGCGGCTGACAGACACACACACTCACACACACCTGCTTTTGGTGTCTTCACTCCATCGATATCATGCCTTGGGTGCATAGCTGCACGCTGCTGGTGTTGTTTTCTTGCTGCATGCTGCTGCCATGATGGCTGTGCTGTGTATACCTTGTCGCTCTGTCACTCGCCGTCTGTGTGTACAGTTCGTGTCTTGCTGATGACATGACTGGCGAGCATATCGATGATGCCAGTCAGCTTGACGGACATTCATTGAGATGAAGGAAAACAGAGTCAGAGATCCAATCAATGGAATTGCGTCTAGAAACTGCCGGTCATGCATTCAGCCAGCCAGCCAGCCAGCCACAGAAGATGCATCCATCCCATTTGCAAATGATGGACGTACACATACGTATACACACACGGACAACACAGAGAGAATGTCGCTCGCAGAGAGATGAAGTGGAAAGGCGGCGGGGCGGAAACTCACTCCATGTCACTCTTATCGGGCAGGCTGGCAGACGAGCAGGCAGCTACACACACGCCGAAAAACGGAGACACACACACCCAGCACGGGAGAGACGACATTCAGCGAGGAAACTGTCTGTCATCCATCCATCCGCATAGAGCCAAACGTACATAAACAGACACCGAACACAGACCTTTGTAGAGAGACATCCTAGCGACAGGGGTGGGTGAGCACAAAACCCACTCTTGTGGGTCATCTGACTCACAGCAGGCAGCTAGCTGGTCACGCAGACACGTGCATGCAGCCACGACACAATCGGTCTCGTACATAGGAGCTGCTCAGTGCGGCTGTTCTTGCTAGGCTGCCTCTCCCTCATCTCCCTGGCCATCCGCGCCACCGCTCTCCTGAACGAATCACATGCATCAAGATCGAAAGTGTCGGCTCTTCTGTGCGTCCGATTTGTGTACCCGGGTTTTGAGACTGGCGATCTCCTCCCGGAGCCGCTGAATCTCGGCCTCCAAAGGATGCCGCTCCGCCGCTTCCTGCACACACAGCAGCCAGACAGACACAGAGGATGACAAGATCAGTGGAGCTGTGGCAGTCTGACTGACCTTTTTGCGTGTTGTCTCTCTTTCGATGAGATGGTCATAGAGCTGGTCGAAGGCCTCCTCATCGTGTGCGTCGACTGCTTTCTTGAGGGCGCTTTTGAAGGCCGTCTGGATGGCTGATGGGAGGAGGGGGATCAGGGGCAGGACGGCAGGTACGTCACTGATGTCAAAGTAAGACCCCAGGGCGGATGTGATGGTTTCGACACGATATTGGGACAAAGAGATGCCCTCGATGGCCGCCGCCCAATACAACATGGACGGAAGGCGATGACGCTGCACGAAAGCCATGTTGGTGACCATGTACTCAGCGACCTGACGATGAATCGACCTACACTCACCAAAACAACCACACACACAGAGAGCGAGAGCGAGAGTGAGAGTGAGAGAGACCTACTGTCTGTGTGCAGGTGCTTTTTTCCACTTGCCTGGCCATCATAGAGATTTCCTCATAGCGGCCCTCGATGACACACATCCGCAGATAGTGGAGAGCCAGTTCACGCATAGGGAACCGGCGAGCTGTCATCGTGAGCTGAATATCCTTAAGACGAATATCCCCCAGCCCATGCTGCGCCAGCGCATCGGCAGAGATAATGCGGTCATTGCCATATAGCGCCGTGTATGCTCCGACCAACTTCACGCCAAATGAGGAGACCCCAGCCGGTGCTCCCTCGCCCATTCGGATCTTGTACATGTCCATCAGCGTCCGGCTGTCGTGCAGTTGGGCAGCGGGATGAGTGGCATCGGAGTCACCATTCGCACCAGACACCTCCAGAGAGCCATAAGGCGCGTAACACGATACAGCGGACTCCCCCTCGACTGCGGTAACGACTGGTTGGATATGAGCGTGCCATCCCGCCACTTCCGTCAGCTTCGCATCGCCACCGCGGATGGCGTTGGCTGGCAGGTTGCTGGATGCACAGGGGCTGTAGGGAGGGGGAAGGCCCACCACGATGACAGAGAAGCCCATACATGTGATGGCTCCCCCCCGCCCGTCGGCAAAGGGCCGCACCGTCGCCGTAGAAGAGGATGAGAATTCGTCGGACTCGAAAACGGCCGCTGCGGACAAAGTAAGGCAGCGACCACAGACACACACACGGTGTACGAGTGAATATTGTGATGGTTGCCCCTTCCTGCTTAGACTTGTTGTACCCTGCGCGGCCGATAGTGACGTCGAGCCCGTCGCATTCGTCAGGAACTGGGCGAGCTCGTGACGCGACATGTCCATTGCATCATACGACATGGCGTCTCCCAGGCTGGCCACCAGGCTCACGGCCGCCTTGATGCTGTCATCCTGAACCTCACCCCTCTCGCGTCGCCGCCACTGCTCGCGGATGACGTCGGTCTTCTTGCGGAGGGACTGACGCAGCGCCGCGCAGATGTCGGGATGGCAGTGGATGAAGCGCGCGATGAAGGGGTACCGGGCGAAGCTGTCGAGCAGACATGTCGCCAGCTGGTGGTCGGCAAGCCATCCCTCCACCACGACCTGACACAGGCAAACAAAATGCACCAACAGTGGATCTGTGAACGAGCTCTCTTGCCAACTCACGCACCTTGCGATGGATGCGCACAGGAGGCTCTGATTGCTGCCCTTGGTGAAGATCTGATCGATGTCGAATTGCAGGTAGTCGAGGGCAATCAACGCATCCAGCAGATTGCCCTTGGTCAGCGAGTCCACTATGTCCAGCTCCTGCTGCAGCACCACCTCACCAATGGGCCGGCTGATCTTCTCGATGCACACCTGACGCTCCTGGCCCTCCTGAAACTCGCCGTCCATCACCTGCACACACACACACAGACGACACACATGGTGTGCATGTCACGTGTCTGTCATCTCTGCCGTGTGTGGTGTGTCGCATCTCACCTGAGTGAAGTATTTGAATTGCCGTATGACGCTCTCCGGAACGACGAGCGGCGCATCGCCCTCCCCATCGCCAGCGAACCGCACACTCACAGACGGCTCCATAACACCGCTCCCCGCAGCAGAATGACGGCAGCAGACACCGAGGAGGCGACGGCAGCACCCTTGACGAGAGCAGAGCACACCACGACGAAGGTGCGCCGCACCGGGAGTCACAGCTCAGCAGTCTGTCTCTTTTTCCAACAAGGCGACAGTCAGATGGCCTTTACTTCTCGACTGGCGCAGATCTGCTCTCCTCGGTGGTGGTTAAGGGTAAGATTGTCCGTGTGTCCATGCGCCGGGACAGGCTTTCATATCCGCATTCGTTACCTAGCCGGGAAACTGGTAGACCGCATTCAGCTCACTCAATGTCAATCAATCATGCAATGCAATGTGCTGTAGCGTCTGTGCTCACGAGACACACAGCAGGCGTGTCAGTGAAAACAAACGTGCCAGCCCCCAGACAGACACGTCAGCTAGCTACACAGATGGACCATCCATCCATCGACCCATCCATCACTTCTTCTTGTTGTTGTTGCCCGCCGTGGTCCCCCTACAGGAGAGAATCGGCCTCCCTCTCCCCCGCCCCCCAACGCCCCCCTGCTGCTGCTGCTGGTTGTGCGGCCTCTGAGGCTCTGCTTTGGGTTTGTCAATGTCCGGGTGAATGCGCCACTGCCGCTCGGCGCCTCGTGTGGTGGTGGTGTTGCTGTGGCTGAGGGCGGCTGCTGCTGCTGTTGCTGCTGCCGGTGGTTGCTGTGGTGGTGGTGCGGTGGAGATGGTCTTTCTGCGGCAGAGCATCTCGAGGAAGCGGAGGGCCGTCCAGCAGCCCTGCACACACAAAAAGGCAGACGCTCGAATGATTGATGGATTGAGTGCGCCTGGTATTCGGAGGCCCACGTGTATGTCTGTTGGGAAGTAGGTGGGGCCGTGCGGCGCCATGGACGACAGCGAATGGTGGAGGGCACTGGTTGACAGCACTGCACACACGAAGGGCACACACACACATCCATCCATCCATGTGTGTGGTGTGTGGATGGCGTGCCTTTGTCAAAGTCGGTGGAGCCGTCAGGTCGCTTGAAGAGCGCCACGACGGTCTCGGTGGCTGCCGTGATGACGGGCCGGTTGTTCATGACGTCGGCCCACCTGACGACCACCTACACACACACACACAGAGAGAGAGAGAGAGAGAGAGAGAGAAAGGGATGGATGGATGGTATCCTGACAGGTCTGCCCTACCTGTCCACTGTTGTTCTGTGGCGTGTTGCTGCACGCCTGCAGTGCCATCCGAATGACCTCCACTTGCATCTCGCTCTCGATCCGCACACCCAGCACCACAGTGGTCGTCGATGAATGGCCAGAATGGCCGGACACATGCGCACGAACGACACGCAGCCGGGCTGCTGAGTTGTCGTCAGCGCTGCTGCTGGTGGTGGTGGTGCTGGTCTGGTCGGCTTGTTGTGCGCGTGCGGCGGCTTCGATCATCGACCAGAGTGAGAGGACGTTGCCGGAGAGGAGGTGGACGTACTCGAATCGCCGGCTGCCGCTGCTGCACCGTTGACCCACCTGCACACACACACACACAGAGAGAGAGAGAGAGAGGGAGAGAGAGAGATGCACACGCCTGTATTGGTTTGTTCTGGGTGGGTATACCCGTGTTTGTGTGTCGTCTGCACTGCTGTCGTACTGCTCTGTCCATCCCCTCTCCGCCTCAGCCATGTCAGCCACACGCACATAGCCACTGCACCACACACACACACACACTGAGGGAGAGAATAAGCGCCTGAGTGCTGTCGACCGACCTGCTGCTGAGTGCGACACGGTTGATGGGCGTCGCGCCGTCTGTCTGCGTCTTGGCCATCGGCCGGTCGGGGAACAGCAGCTGGTACCACAGCTCGCCGCGCGAAGTCAGCGCCTGCACACACGCAATAACCGATCTGCCCATCCAGTCAGCTGTCTGTCATTTGTCTGTGTGTGTGTGTGTGTGGCCATGGTGACCGTCTTGCGTTCGATTGCAAGTGCGTAGGTCTGCTGCTGTTGCTGCTGGTTGTTGGTCGTCCTGTAGAAACCCTCGACGGCCGATGCTGCTGCTGCTGCTGATGCTGATCCGCTCTGCGCACACACACAGGGAGAGAGTGACACAACAGACGGGCACCCACAAAGAGAAATCAGCACACGAGTGTGGGTGTGGGTGTGGGTGTGGGTGTGTGTACGTGTGTCCGAGCGTCGTGTATCTGAATGGCCTCTTGCCACGGGACGCCGTGGTCCACACGCAGACAGAAGTACTGCGTGGCCATCCCTGTGTGTGTGCACACCACACACACACAAACAAAATTGTGTGTGTGTGTGTGTGTGTGTTGACCGTCCCACACCCACCAGTCGTGGGGTCGGTGTAGATGACCTCGGTGTGAGCGACTGAGGTGCGGTCTCGACGGCCGATGCTCTTCACACCTTGGTCGTGCTCGCCATTGACACGCGACAGCTGCAGACACTCAGACACCCACGCGCACACACACTGATGCGTTTAAGTGTGTCTGTCTGTGTGTGTGTGCACCTCAACACGGGCGTCGTGTATCATGGTGAAGAGGTCGAAAATGTGCTGCTGCAGAGAGGGCCGCAGCATCATCAGCCTACACACACGCAGCCACACACATGGGGGCGTGTTGTGTGTGTGGGGTGACTGACTTGTTGAGGAAGGCGTCCATGAGTTTGTCGTCTTTCTTCTCGTTGAAGATGCGCTCGATCATACCAACACCCTACACACACACACACACACAGAGAGAGAGAGAGAGAGTATCGCCCATAACACGCCTTTTCCATGGGTGGGTGTCACACGTACGTCCAGCGCGCTTCTCGCCTCCTCGATGAACGTCTCCTTCGCCTCTCTGTTGCCCCCGCCCGCCAAAAAAGGCACGCCAACATTCTCGCCATTGAGATACCTTCACACACACACACACACACATCGACATACACACATCCATCCAGCCACCACATCAGTCAGTGCACCCACCCACACACCGATTGATGTCGACCACGGCCTGGTAGCCATGTGTCGAGTAGACGTCGTAGCTCAGGAGGTCCTCACTCTTTGCACCGACACCGCCAGCACGACTGACACAACACACCCACACCCACACCCACACAGAGATCGAGAGGGATGGATGGATGGATAATGTCACAATCATGCCCACCTATCGCCCGTAGTGATGGCGCCCATGCTCTTCACGCGCCGCGCCACCGTGCTGATGAAACGGCGCTCACCTGCACCGAACCACACACACACGGACACACACATAGATGCCGATGCGCACACAGGAGCTGTGCTGACCGCCGAACGGCGTGACGAGGAAGTGAATGATAGGGGGGTGCAGCTGGTTCGACCTGTGGCACCTGCCCAGCTGCTGCAAGGCCTTCTCGGCACTCCTGCACACACACACAGCCGTCCATGTGTGTGTGTGTGTGGCGGGGGGGGGGCAACGTGTTGTGTGTACCAGAATACTTCTATGGGAATCATCAGCCGCTTCTTCGGCGCACTGCTGCCGGACCTGCCCTTCTCGGCGTGCAGGGAAATACCTGCACACACCAACACACACACACATATACACACACAGATACACACAAATGCACGCATCTCTCTCTCTCTCTCTGTGTATGTGTGTATGTGTGTGTGTTGATGTGTGTTACCGGCCGAGGCTGCCTCAGTGATGATGGCAACTCTCTTTCTGTTGGTCTGAAAGTAGGCCTGCTCCGTTAGATTCACCCGGTCGGCAGGCACCGCCTACACACACACACACAGAGAGAGAGAGAGAGCGCGGATGGGTGGCTGCGTGTGGGTGCCGGTGTATGTCACCTCTAAGCCAGTGTTGCGCTCGACGTATTCGAATTTCGTGCCGCGACGCTCCTGACACACATCCAGCCCACACAGATGGATGGATGCTTGAATGGATGCCTATAGATGCTTACGAGCCTCTTCTGACGTCCACTCAGCTCCGCCGCTTTTGGGGGGCCGCCCAGCTGTTTGATAGACACACGCACAAACAGAGAGAGAGAAAGAGAGAGAGGGAGAGAGAGAGATGCGACTTGGCTGACTTACCTCGTCAATGAGGCTGTCGAGTACATTGCGTGGAAACAGCTTGTCCTGCTCGAAGCGCGCCACACGCGCCTTCAACTCGGACAGCTGCACACACACAAACACACACAGTGCATTCATCCACACACACACTTGATGCCTTTATGTGTGTGTGTGTGGCCGACCGATTGCTGGAGGTCCTCGATGGGCTTGCCCCTCTTGTCACACGTCGGGAAGTGGTTGTCCAGCAGGTGCTTCACCGAGAGATGCCTGCACCCACCCCCCACACACACATATACCGGGGGAGGGGGGAGGGGGAGGGGCGCTCACACACTCACATGCTCGACAGCAGCTGCTCCGTCTGCTTGTTGTCTCTGTCTTTCATCTCGTCGGCGCTGCGGGCCTCACCCGTCGACCAAAGGCTGCACACACACACACACACACATCTCCCTCCCTCCTGCCCTCTCTGTCTGTTGTGCTCACTCACCAAATGACGACACTCATATCGTTTTCTAGGGCCTCCTTCGCCATGCTCACTGCAGTCGGCACCTTGGCCGCCACACACAGCTGACCGAAAAACCGCTGCGCAGTGGCCGACACCTAATTAATGGACGGACGGATGGACGAAAGAAACCACGGGGAGGGGG